AAAAATTATCAGTGTTGTTTATAAAATTTGTTTATATTTTATATTTAAAATTTGTTATTTATTTAAGTGTTATGAAGAAATACAATATTTCCAAACATTTTATATAACCAAAAAAGAATTCATACATTAATTAATATAATAAAATGTAAACATTTTATAATTAAGAATTTAACCTTAATCAAGATTAATAATTATAAGTACCATTTAATAACTCATGCTGGTTAATTTTAAACTATGAACAAATATTACGTGTTGGTAATTTTAGTTAATAATATTTAAAGCAAAATTGGCATATACCAACAAATTATATTTAAAATTTTTAAATTGATTTTCACATGTTAATTTTTTCAACAAGAAAATTATAGAAAAACTTATTTGTATTTAATTTTAACGAAATTAGTGTTTCATCGAGTTTGTAATAGCTTTTAATTAAATTGACATTTATATCCCAATCATTATTCCTTGTTAAAATGTCATCACAATTAGGCCTATTCCACCAATTTGGAAATTGTGACATATTCAAAATTTCTTTTAATGTGTTTGTTGCAGATTTTTCTAAGATGTCACTTCCTAGGTATTTATTTGATCTATGGGAAAACCATATTTTATTTTTAAAAGATTAATTAAAAAGAAGTAATAAATATTTACTTGTAATCAGCAACATCAAAATTTAATAACTTTTCCCAAATATGTGCCAAACTGTAGATATCTGACTTGTTTGTGTTTCTGTTATTTTTTAAAATTTCCGGCGCTATATATTCAGCAGATTGTGATTTTTGGCTTTTGGTTTTGCTCTTGGTCCACGTACGGCTTATCGATGATTTATCTCCAAAATTAGCTTTTCCAAAATCATAAATTTTTATAAAACGGCCATTATTAGATTTTTCGGAAACCGACACAATACCAGGGTTCAAGTTTCTCAGTATTGTAGCTGGATTCAATTCATGCAAATAATTAACACATTCTAATAATTCTTTGAATATTTCACACGATATGAAATACTCGATTAGCCCCAAAGGCTCACCAGGTTTACGGGAAAAAACCATTTCCTTTTCCTTTATAATTTCTTCCAGCGTTGTCAAATATACTTCCATTAGTATATAAAAATGATCCCTGTCCCGCCATGAATCATAATATCTAATTACATATATTGATTGCAGCCTGCCAAGAATATCTATTTCTCGGTCGTTCCGAGATTTATCGTATACTATAAAAATGTATTGTATTGTTTATTATGTGGATGGGTCCGTACAGAATAAGCACTAGAAATATACATGTCAAACTGTAATTGTAGCAATCCTGTATGTTAATGTGTTTTAGTGCAACAATTACCGTTTGAAATGTATATTTCTAGCGCTGATTCTGCACGGGCCCATCCATATGTTTTCAAATATTTTTATCAATAGCATGTAAACTCTTATATTGTACCTCACGATATATAACTTTATATCATTTTATAAGATTTTATAGATTTTAAAATAAATAATATAATATAAAAAATGTTAAGTAACAATATAATTGACATTTAAGAATATACCTTTTGAACGTTTGATAATATATATACCATGATCAATTTTACTTTCAACTTTTATAACTGATGAAAATTCTTTATCGATAAGTGTTTGAATTTTCTTGAATGTGTCCTCATAGTAATTATTTTTAATTGACAAAGGTTTGTCTAAAAATTCAAATAAATATAATATTTAATTTTTAAAAATATAATATAATAGATGTCAATTTTACCATTAATATTTATCTCTGATAATTTTAATAAATCACAATCAGGATCATTAATAGCCATATCAATTGTTTTATAGGTTATTTGCCATTTTGCGGCAAAATAGTCATTGAAATTACTAAAGCCTGTATCTTCCACATTTGTATTTATAATTTTAACAATTTTATTATTGACTTTTTGATTGGCAGTTACAAAATCAATATAATTATACGTTGTAACTTGCTTAAAAGTGATAAAGTTCCTATTTGATTTAAATAACTTTGGCACTTTACTAAATAACTCTTTTTTATTTTCAACATACTTTCCACAAAAGTATACCATATTATTGTCAGTTTTAAAATAGGTATTAGCGACGGTTGAACATACCATGCTTATTTTTGGCATATAGGAAATCAATTGAGGTTTAAATAAATAATCTTGGCAATCATGTCCTAATTGGTAGCAATTATTATAGCCCCAACTGTATACACTACCATCAAATGTAATTGCGAATGATGACATTGCGTGACAATGTATTTTGTCCATTTTCCTATCATAAGGGAACTCAATTTGAACAGACTGCTTAATGATTTCACCATGTTCAATCCCACATCCAACTTGGCCAACATTATTATTTCCCCATCCATAAACATGCCCATGAGTTGTTAATATTAGTGTATAACTAAATCCACAAAATATTTGCTTGATGTTGTTTTTCCAATTAATTGGAGCAGGTTTATAAAATTTACCAATATTGTTATGGCCAGTATATCTAGCCAATTGTCCGTACTCATTTTGGCCCCATGTAAACAGCTGGTTATTATCATTTACTGCCAATCCAAATGTCAAACCATAATAAAAGTTCAGAATATTCTTATTACATAATTCTGTTATTAGTTGAGGACTCTCAGTAGATTTATTATGACCCAAACCGAGGGATCCCCCCGAATTAGTACCAAGACCATATACCATGTCATCATTTGTTTTAAATATCATGTTATAGCCATGTTTATCATCATAAACATAAAATAATTTAACTTGATATTTTATTAAATCCGGTATATTCTTTGTCAACTTGAATTTATCTAATAATTCCATAATTGTCGAATGTTAGAAATATTATTTTTAAATATACAAAATTCTATTTATTATCAAAATAATATCCACAATTTATAATTATTAAACTGTATACTTTTATTATTATAACTGTAATTAGTATAAAGATGCCATATCATATAAAATATTAAGTTGTAAATATCATAGGTGCCGTAATCTACTATATTTACTTTATTTATTGAAATAGTGGAACTAATACTTTTATATTATAATAATAAATTTATATTGTTTGTTATCAGTACTAGAATCATGAGTTATTTATTAGGTTAAAGTCATAAGACGTGTTTATCCTGGTTTGTTACTATGAACAGTACTATCGTAATTGTGCTCTATATTCTTTAAGATAATATTTTAAGTACTACTGTATATAAAAATCTCAGCTAATTGTATTTTATTATGAATGTTATTAAATATTTTATAACAATAAATAAAATTCCTTGAATTACAAAATAGGGTTGTTATATATTTTTTATAATTACACTTATTCTGTAAACATTAAATTGAAAAATGCATTATTAAATACAAAATTATATATATAAAAATATTTTTTATATAAATCACAGTTATAATAATTTATAATAAAATATTGTTTGACATTATGAATCTCATATTTATCACAGCTTATCTCAAATAATTTATTATGATTTTGATTATAGTTAAGAATAATACGTCAAAAGTTAATAAACTTTGCCCTATTTCAATTATTATATTTTATAATAGACTAATATGAAAGCACTTTGAGTACTGTTTTATATTAATTATTACAATTATGTAATATACCAGTTATATTATATTTTTTATTTTAATTATATATATTAATTTATAATTGTAAAATTTTAAATAAAGTGGTTTATTCACTCTTACTATATAATCCAATTTATAAAACAATTATATTTGTATTGTGACTGCCATATATATAATCTACAACCATGACAATTAATGCTATTGATGAAATCAGTGTATTCAAATGTTTACCATTTTATTTGAAAACTGCTATAAAGATTTTTTATATCTTCTGTGTTCACGAAGCAAATGACATAAATATAATTTTTATTACAAAGGCTGACCAGGTTTACGGAATTGGACCATTTTTTAGGGAATTTTTCAACAACTATTTCTATAATTATATTCATGAATTACGTTTCAAGAAAATTAAACATATTAGCAATGGACATAAATTTGTAATTGCATTAAATGATACTGGTATTGCTTACTCATTTGGTCAAAATTATCATGGCCAATTAGGCCGCTCAAACTCACAATCTATAAAACCGGATGTAATTGAATTTGATAATAATAAATTAATCCAGATAAGTTGTGGAAAGAATCACTGCTTAGGATTGACACTAACTGGGCAAGTATATGGTTGGGGCAGTAACACTGAAAATCAAATATACCTAGATAATATTGATTATTATTATAAACCTACAATAATTGACCTAAACCCTAATGTGAAACCTGAAGATAAAGTGCCAGTAAGCTATATAAGTTGCTATAATAACTCATCTTTTGCAATTAACGTAAATGGTCAAATGTTTAGCTGGGGTTGTCATAAATATTATAACCTCGGTCATCAAAATCATTCACAATGGCCACCTATTGAAGTAAACTTGCTTAATATATTATCAATCCATACAAATATGCAAACTAACATGTACACTATTGAGGGAATTATATATTACTGTGGTACGATTTCAAATTCAACAGACCAAATTGTTATACCAGAAAAGGTTTCACAAATATTAAACATACCTAATGCAACGCCATATTATAAATATCCATGCTCATTTGAAGCTAATGCGATTATGATTCATGGAATTTTATATGAAGTTATTGGGAATAGGCTGGTGAGATGTGACCCTAATATTGTAACTCTAACTTTGTATAAATATTATATTCAAACACATTCATCAACATTTAAAACAATTCACCTTGATATGAATGGAATACCATATTCAATTGGCACATATATGGACGATAAAAATAAATTCCATTATAGATATTTAAATCAAAATGATTGTAAAAATTATTATAACGAAAATAGAAGTACTGAAAATATGCCATGCTTAAATTTGAATAGAATTAAAATCATACATGAGAATGTTGAAAATATAAATAAGGATATTGAATTTAATAATCTTATTCAAAATGTATTACAAAATCATAGTGAATTTGAGCTTAATGAAGTTAAAATTGGTGAAGGAAGTTTCGGACAAGTTTATAAAGTTAAAAATACAATTGATGGTATCATGTACGCGCTAAAGTTTATTAAAATTACAGGTTAGAATTAAAATTTTATTAATAAATTTAGTAATTTTATTTAAATATTTTAATAATGTATTTAGGTGATGTCGATAAAACTAAACAAGAAATAGATATCTTATCAAAACTTGATAGCCCTTATGTAATTGAATTTAACAAATATTATTCGTTACATGATTTACAATGTTGCATTCAAACTAAATACTGTTTAACCAATTTATCTAAAATTATTGAATTAAAACATACATTCATTCATCAAAATCGCGGCCGTGAATTAGAGCTTGCCGCAATTATTGATTATTATATATCATGCGAAATTCTAAATGAATTAAACAATGGCATAAAATATTTGCACGATAATAAAATTATGCATGGAGATGTTAAACCGGGCAACGTATTAATTGACACTGACTCAAACAATGGTATATTTTGCAAGTTGTGCGATTTTGGTTTGTCCAAGATATTTGACGCTAATAGAAATTATGATGATTGCGAACCAGATAATATTGGTAGCCCCAAATATAAAGCACCTGAGGATATCTTAGTGTTCAAAAGCGATATTTATAGTCTTGGTATTTTAATCGGCACTTTGTTTGAATATAATTTTAAAATGATTGAGTAAGTGTTCATAATAAATTACACACAAAAAATAATTAATAATTATTTTTTATTTTAGTGAGAATAATAATGATGGTGACTTATTAAAATATATTAATAAACTTAACGAAATACAATCAACAATGGTAAATTATAGAATTGGAGAAAGACCTTCAATTAGCGATCTCATTTTTAAATTAAATGAAAAAGATTGGAGTTATCAAATTGTACAATTACAAACATTTAATAATATTCATGAGAGATTAAATTTATTATTAAACATTGACTATATTGATATAGCAACAATTTTTGTATCTAAAAGTAAAATCTAGCGAAATAAGAATATTTAAAAAATTATTTAAAATATAAGAAATAAGTAGAATAAATAATTTACTACTTGAAATTACAATAATAAAAATCAATTTTAATAAATTATAAACTAGAAATTTTTTGCTAAAATTATTTACTGTACACAACGTATTTATCTATTTAGTTTATAAGTAAGCAAAAATTATTTTATTTTCAATTTATGCAATATGTTGTATTCTATTGAATAATTTATAAAACATATAAGCATTTGCATTAACACGTGATGCCGTAAATATAATAACCAGAAACTTTATCACAAATATAAACGATGAATAATAAAGTATAATTTTAATAACAATATTAAACTGTAAAATAGTAAACATAAATATCATAATAGTAATAACTAAACCAAATAAAAATCACACTGACAACAAATAATAACACATACAGGGTAGACTTTTATTAACGATGCCACTTTAATTCTAGTTTATTTCAATACCGTTTTGTTTATTTTATACATTCATTCACTAAATTGTAGCTGGATAGTTAGGGTTTTGTTTGGTATATGATTTGTCCATGTCGGTATTAAGCAAAATTTTATACAAGGGATATA